CCAGGCTGGAATGCAGTGACACGCTCACAGCCAACACAGCCTCAACCTGCTGGGCTCAGGAGATCCTTCTGCCTCAGCCTTACAAGTAGCTGAAACTACAGGCATGCACCACCATGCCCGGCTAATTTTTTTAAGGTATCCCCATGTTGCTAAGACTGGTCTCAAACCCCTGAGCTCAGGCAATCCTCTGGCCTCTGCCTCCCAAAGTGCTGGGATTACAGGTGTGAGCCGCAGTGCCTGGCTAAGAAGAAGAAAAAAAAATCTTAACTTAATCATCTCTACAAGGTCTCTTGCCACATTATGTCACATAGGTTCCAAAGATTAGGACACGGACTAGGGGTGTCATTATTCTGTCCCCAACAGAGACCCCCCTCCCCAGGTCCTCATGAAGGGTGTCCTGTGACATGTGGCACATGCACTTACTAAAATTCAAATTGCTGTGATCTGAAGGCCATTGGCCCCAGGCCTCCAGGTACTGGATGATGCCCAAGTGATTGCTCCATGATGAAATGGGAAAACTGAGTCTCAGAGGGACCCCAGAGCCGATCTGAGAATTGATGACAAACCCAGACACAATGCCTGGCACCAGTGGCTGCAGGGGAGGGCGCCTTCCATGTCAGAGCAATAACAGAGCCACGGAGGGCATTCTGGGAGCACTGTAGAGAGGAGTCCCTGTTCTGGTGGGGGTTAGGGACCCGTGCGGGGTGGAGACAGTTTTTTTCTTTCATTTTGGAGGTGGAGTCTCACTATGTTTCCCAGTCTGGTCTTGAACTCCTGGCCTCAAGCAATCCTCCTGCCTCAGCCTCCCAAAGTGCTGGAATGACAGGCATACGCCACCACACCTGGCCTAGAGAAAGATGTTCTGGACAGATTTTAGGGGTCCAGGGGAAAGAGCAAAAAGACAAGGGATCTGCTGGAGAGAAGAGTCTGGAGGGGAAGCCAGAGATGGGGGGGAGGAGAGAAGGGTGCCAGGGCTCTGGGCTGGTGACTGTTGGACAAGCCAGTTGTCACAGGGGATAAAGGGACAAAATGGGGAGCGGGGGAGGGTGGGGAACTACGGTGTTTCTGGCAAAGAGGGCCTCATGTGCTGGGATGCTGGCAGTTGGGGAGATTCCCCTCCAGCCCCAGCCCTCACTCAACCCCCCCCACCTCCTGCTCCACCAGGTGTCTGTGGGGACTGGAAGAACCACTTCACAGTGGCACAGAGCGAAGCCTTCGACCGTGTCTACCACGAGCAGATGCAGGGGCTGCCGGCCTTTCCCTGGGACCAGACCCCGGAGGAGACCCGCCGGGACCCCCAGCCCAGCCCTGAGCCTGAGCCCAGCCCCAGCCCCAGCCCCAGCCCCAGCCCCGGCCAGGCCTCCGAGGCCCCCCACCCGTGACCCTGAGAATAAACATGTCGCTCCTGCCCGGGCTCCTCGATGCCTGACGCGTGTGGTGATGCGGGTGGGCCAGCAGGGCTGGAGGGGAGCCCCACATCCAGGGCCTTGGGAGAGCAGGTACTCTTCCTCCCTGGCCCGCCAGTGGGGTCCCTGACTCAGAAGCCCTGGCCCGAGGGAAAGGTGAGGCAGGGAGGCCAGCACAGGGCGTCGGAATGCAGCCTGGGGGGAGGGGTTGGAGCCTGGACTCCCAGGTTGGAGGACAGGTCTGAGTCTGAGAGAGGAGGGCCTGGGGGCTTGGACCTCTGGGTCTGATGGAGGAGGGGCTCGAGGTTTGGACCTCTGGGTCTGAGAGAGGAGGGGCTGGGGGCTGGGGCCTGGACCCCTGGGTCTGAGGGAGGAAGAGGCTGGGGGCCTGGACTCCTGGGTCTGAGGGAGGAGGACTGGGGGCTTGGACTCCTGGGTCTGAGGGTGGAGGGCTGGGGGCTTGGACTCCTGGGTCTGAGGGTGGAAGAGGCTGGGGGCCTGAACTCCTGGGTCTGAGGGTCTGAGGGAGGAGGGGCTGGGGGCCTGGACCCCTAGGTTTGAGGACCCCGAGTTTGAGAGAGGAGAGGCTGGGGCTCTGGACTCCTGGGTCTGAGGGAGGCTTGAGGCGGCTTGGGGCCTGGATTTCTGGGTTTGAGGGTCTGAGGGGGGGAGGGGCTGGGGGCGAGAACCCCTGGGTCTGAGGGAGGAGGGGCTGTGGCCTGGACTCCTGGGTCTGAGGGAGGAGCTGGGGCCCCTGACCCCTAGGTTTGAAGACAGGTCTGAGTCTGAGAGAGGAGGGGCTGGGAGGTTTGGACTCCTGGGTCTGAGGGAGGTGGGACTATAGGTCTGAACTCCCAGGTCTGATGGCAGAGGGGCTGAGGGGTCTAAACTCCTAGGTCTGACAGAGGAGAGACTGGGTTCTGGACTGTTGGGTCTGAGGGAGGGGGTGCTGGGGCCTGGACTGTTGGATCATGGGTCTGGCCGTGGAAACGCTAGTTTCTGGCATGAAACAGCTTTATTCTGGCGCAGTAAAGGGGCGCTCCAGCCAGTCCCACCCCCTTAGTACCCAGTGAAGGTTCCACCCCCCACGGTCCCAGTCCCTCTCCATGGCCCATTCCCCAGCACCTGTGTCCCTACTACTCTCTATCCTCATCCTTCAGCTCCTCAACTCAGTTTACCCACAGCTCCTGAGCATGGTGGGTGTGGCGGCTTCTCCTTCAGTCCCTGGGCCTCCCCATCTTCCTCCCACACAATTCCAGTGTGGAGGCCACCAGCCAGGCCACTCCTCTAGGAAACCCAAACAGGAGGTCTTGCTGTGCTTCCCAGGCTGGTCTCGAGTTCCTGGGCTCAGGCGATCCTCCCGACTTGGCCTCCCAAAGTGCTGGGATGACAGGCATGTGCCACCATGCTCGGCTTCCTCTGTCTCTCCTACCCTCTCTCTCCTCTGGTCTAACCTCCTCCTTCACCTCCTGAGTCTCTGAGTCCTGAATCCCGCCACTGATCTCGCCCATGTTCCAGAACAAGTGGACAACCCCTTCTGATTCCCAGACCCCGAGGCCAGAGGCCTCGTCAGGCATTTCTGAGCTGTCACAGGCCGGCTCTCCTCGAGTGGGCCGGCCAAATTCGCAGGGGGCCTGGGCCAGTCAGGGTTGCCCACCACGTGCCGCCCAGGAGGACCAGTCTGGCTGCCCCAGGCCTCTGGGTTCCGGAAGCTTGGATGCAGTGTCTTCACCAAACCTCCTTCGGGCTGGGGACAGATAGCCCAGGCGGCGGCGACTGGGAGAGACCAGGGGCAGGGGACTGCCCCAGGGCTGAGACCAGGCCAGGGGCTGGGAGTCCGCCTCGCCTCTGGGGCCCCCTCCGGAGCCCCGCTGCCTCATCAGGGCCTTGGCTGGGGTGTCCTTGGAGCCCCAAGACTTCTTGAGCTGTGGAGGGAAAGACAGGGAAGTGAGAAGAGGTTGGGGGAGATGGGGGTCTCAGAGCCAGGGAAGGAAGAAGAGAGGGAGTTGAAAGCCTCAGGAGGAGCCGGGCTCGGTGGCTCAGCCTGTAATCCCGCGCCTTTGGGAGGCTGAGGTGAGTGGATTGCCTGAGACCGCGGGTTCGAGACCCACCTGGGCAACTTGGCGAGACCTCATCTCTACAATAAATCAAAAAATTAGCCGGGTGTGGTAGCGCGCCTTTAGTTCCAGCTACTTGGAAGGTTGAGGTGGAAGGAGCGCCAGAGTCCAGCAGATCGAGGCTACGGTGGCTGGGAGCGGCCTCTGCACTCCAGTCTGGGCGACGGAGTGAGACTCCAACTCAGGAGAAAAAAAACAAAAGACTCAGGAGGGCCAGGCTTGTTGGCTCACAGCTGTCATCCCAGCACTTTGGGAGGCCGAGGTGAGAGGATTGTCTGAGCCCAGGGGTTCGAGACCATCCTGGACAACTTGGTGAGACCTCATCTCTACAATAAATAAATAACTAGCCAGATGTGGTGGCGTGTGCCTGTGGTTCCAGCTACCTGGAAGGCTGAGGCAGAAGGATCACTGGAGCTCAGCAGGTCGAGGCCGTGGTGGCCGTGAGCATGCCAGCCTGGGCAACAGAGTGAGACTCCAACTTAAAAAAAAAAAAAAAAAAAAGACAGACTCAGGAGGTGAAGGAGGAGGTTAGACCAGAGGAGAGAGGGGGTAGGAGAGGAAGAGGAGGCCGGGTGCGGTGGCTCAGGTCTGTCACCCCAGCACTTTAGGAGGCCAAGATGGGAGGATCGCTTGAGCCCAGAAGTTCGAGACCAGCCTGGGCAGCATAGTAAAAATAACAAAAGGTAAAAAAATAACAAAAGGTAAAATAATAATAATAATAATAAGTGTGGTAGTACATGCCTGTAGTCCCAGCTACTTGGGAGGCTGAGGTGGGAGGATCGCCTGAGCCCAGGAGGTGGAGGCTGCAGTTGGCCGTGATTTACCACTACACTCCAGCCTGGGTGACAGAGTGAGACCCCCATTCAAAAAAAAAGGGGAGGAGGGGGAGGGAAGATGAGAGAAAGAGGTGAGAGTGGAGAAAGAAGGGGAGGAGGAAGGGGTGGGACTAGGAGATGAGAGAGAAGCAGCGACAGGGGATGGGTGGAGGGTCTGGGAGAATGGGGGGGCAGTGAGACAGGAAGAAGAGATGCCCGCGGAGGAGGGAGGCTGGGAGGGTGGCATCATGGAACTCTGAAGGTAGGTGAGCCAGCCCCTGAGCTCCAGAACCAGGAGGAGTGTCAGAGGCCTGGGACCCCAAAGCTACAGAGAGGCCAGAGGTGTGTCCTCCCGGGTGGCTTCACAGCAGGGAGGAGCCAGAAGCAGCTGGCAGCTGGCTGCGGGAGCAAATATTTGCCAAGGGAAGGGATGCTGGGTGAGGGCGACCCAGGACCAGGTCGGGCCGAGGACCTTGCCCCTGCCCCTCCTCCTCCCCTGAGCCAGGAGCCCTCGCTGCTGCTGGGACTGAGGAAGGCGATGCCCGGGACAGTCTTCCCTCACCCTCAGGCGACAGGTCCTCTCTAGCTCTCCCTTAGCAGGTGGGACAACTGAGGCTGAGAGGGGCCTCTGCACTTAGCCTCTTGATAGGCTGCAATGCAGCTGAAGGAACAGCCTCAGAGAGAAAAGTGAATGGGGGCAGCTCTGTCGGGTTTTTATTGTTTTCTGTTTTTAGACAGGGTCTCTTTTTTCTTCTTTTTTTTTTTGAGTGGGAGTCTCACTCTGTCTCCCAGGCTGGAGTGCAGTGGCACACTCACCTGCTGGGCTCAGGTGATCCTTCCACCTCAGTCTTCCAAGTAGCTGGAACCACAGGAGCATACCACCACGCCCAGCTGATTTTTTGATTTACTATAGAGACGAGGTCTTGTGTGGCCCAGGCTGGTCTCGAACCCCTGGGCTCAGGCAATCTTCTCACCTCAGCCTCCCAAAGTGCTGGGATTAAAGGCGTGAGCCACCGCACCCGGCTACGGTCTCTTTCTATGACCTAGGCTGGAGTGCAGCGATGCAATCATAGTTCATTGCAGCTTCAAACTCCTGGGCTCTAGCGAGCCTCCTGTCTCAGCCCCCAGAGTAGCCGGGACCAACAGATGTGCACCGCCACACCCAGCTAATATTTTTACTTTAGTAATGTCAGGGTCCTTACTATGTTGCCCAGGATGGTCTTGAACTCCTGGCCCCAAGCCATTCTGCCTCGGCCTCTCAAAGTGCTGGGATTACAGGCATGAGCCACCACACCCAGCTGAGCAGGCTCTGTTGGCTGACCTCCAATCCCTCTCTGGTGCCTAAGTTTCCCCATGTGAGAAGGAGGTGGGTGGAGGACTGTGATAATATCCATCTCATAGAGTTATGGCAAAGGTTAAATTTAATCACCTCTGTGCACATGCCTGGCACCTTCCACATGGCAAGGTGCCTATGAAAGACTTCTCTTTCCACCTTGTACAAGTTACTCAACCTCTCTGAGCCTCAACTTGCCCATCCATAAAATGGGCATGAAGGCCGGGCACAGTGGCTCGTGCTTGTAATCCCAGTGCTTTGGGAGGCTGAGGCAGGAGGATCGTTTAAGGCCAGGAGTTGAAGACCAGTCTGATCAACATAGTGAGACCCCGTCTCTACAAAGATAAAAATAATCAGCCAGGCTCGGTGGCTCAGCCTGTCATCCCAGCACTTTGGGAGGCCGAGGAGAGTGGATTGCCTGAGTCTGCGGGTTCGAGACCAGCCCAGACAATGTGGCAAGACTTCGTCGCTACAAAAATAATCAAAAATCAGCCGGGCATGGTAGCACGTGCCTGTAGTTCCAGCTACTTGGAAGGCTGAGGTGGAAGAGTCACCGGGGCCCAGCAGGTCAATGCTGGGGTGGCTGTGAACGTGCCACTGCACTCCAGCCTGAGCCACTGAGTGAGACTCTGACTCAAACAAACAAAAAAGACAAAAATAATCATGTTTTCTTTGGCAACACATCCACTAAAAATTGGAACAATACAGAGAAGAATCGCATGGCCCCTGTATGAGGATGACATGTAAATTCCTGAAGTGTTCCATAAAAATAAATAAATAAATAATCAGCCAGGTGTGGTGGCACCTGCCTCTAGTAGTCCCAGCTACTTGAGAGGCTGAGGTGGGAGGATCGCCTGAGCCCAGGAGGTCGAGGCTGCAGTGAATTATGATCCCAGCACTGCACTCCAGCCTGGGCAACAGAGTGAGACCTTGTCTTTGAAAAACATAAAATCATCTCACAATAAATCAAAAAATCAGCCGGGCGTGGTAGCGCATGCCTATAATTCTGGCTGCTCGGAAGGCTGAGGCGGAAGGATCGCCGGAGCCCAGCAGATCGAGGCTGCGGTGGCCGGGAGCGGCCACTGCACTCCAGTCTCCAACTCAAAAATAAAAAAATTTAAAAAAAGAACGCTTCCGGCTCTTGTGGTGGGAGCAGGACCTGGAACTGGGCTGTGTGACTCCAGGCAAGTGCCTTCCCCTTTCTGGGCCTCCATCCTCTTTTGGCTCCAGCCACCAGGTCTCACCTCATTGTCACCCTCACTGGAGCCCGACAGCTGGGACAGGCGGCTCAGGTCCCAGAGGGAGCGGCTGGGCCGGGCCCGGGGGCCGCTGGGGGTCCGGGCGCGCTGGACGCTCCTCAGGATGTCGCTGAGGGCGGGCCCGGGGACGGTGGGGGGCTCCTTCCTGTCTCCCTCGAAGATGTGGCAGGCCGCCAGGCGCTGG